AGGATGAGTCCGTGTAGCAGGAAGGAGCATCTTTGCGGGAGCACGGCCTCTGCACCGTGTCGGGCCGTTAATGACTTAGAAAACGAGGGTTGAAGGGAGCTCGGGAGGTCGCATCTAGTGCAGCCCCCTGCTCCAAGCGGGACCAGCCCCGACTCCATCATCCCAGCCACGGCTGTGCCCAGCCTGGTCTTAAACACCTCCAAGGATGGAGACACCACCACCTCTCCGGGGAGCCTGCTCCAGCGCTTCCCCACCCTCCTCGTGAGAGAGTTTCTCCTAATATCCACCCCAAACCTCCCTTGCAGTGACCGGAGACCATTGCTCCTTGTTTGTTCAAGGAGGATCTTTCATAGCTTTATAGATGTCCGTAACCATTTAAGCCAGTCTACAAACGGGAGGCCTGGCCGGGATAAAAGATGAGGCAAGGCGAACCTGAAGACAGGGAGGAATAAGGTGCGCCAGGCCTTTGTGAGGAAGAGAGAATGGTCCGGACGTCTAAAATCTCCCCTGCTCTGGGATAAGGGTGTAATGATTCGGGTACGACGGCGTTGGGAGTCGCGGGAGACGTGTTGGACGTACGTGAACGGGGAGCTGCAAAACGGGGATCGAAAAGGGATGGGCAGATCGCAAGCTTGAGTGTCAAGAGGGGGCTGGGCTCCCGGTCACCCAGAAGTTTGAAATTAGGGTTTTCGCAAGCATTATAACATACCGCTGCTGTTTTATGCGTGCTGCCGTGGTCCTCCTGTATCTGTGGCTTTTGCCACTTTGAATAGGACTCAGGTCCCATATAAAAGAGTCTGTTCATTTAGGATCTGTCCCAACCTGGCAGGTTTTAAGTGTTGATTCAAGTATTCGTGTTGGTGTGTTTGCGATTTCACACGCAGGGGTGCTTATATTCCCTTTTGTAATTTTTAAGCAAGGTTGCGTGCAGTCAGGACTTTGACTGAAGGCACCAAGGAGTCCTCTGGGTCGCTGTGTGGTGCTGACAGTTCAGCGTGTGCTCTCCTCCTAACTGCTATTGCACTGCTTTTGAGATGCTGGGGTGATGGAGATGCTGTGGTCCTTCAGATGAAATGTAAAATCAAGGTCCTGATCACCTACGATCCCTGAATGTCCCATGTCCATTTCCTTCAGATCCGTTCTGTGCTGGTGAATTTCCCTCCCTCAGATTTTAATCATCGTTAAATAGTTCAGTCGAAGGAATGTTAAAACTAGTTGGAGCCATAGTATAGATCAAGCTTCAATACAGAACAGGCTGAACCATTGTTACTGAGCTGGTTTTAAAACTGGTTTACTAAAAACACTAGTCTCCAAGCAGCATATGCTGTGGCTCTGACTGGTTTTAAAATCAATTCACCTACTTTCTTAATAAAACTGCCTAGCATTAGTCCTGGTAATCGCACTCTGCCCCCTTGATTTTTCTTGGCACTTTTCATGTCCTGGCCCAAGCTGTTGGGTGGCAGTGTGTAGACTAAAACAGCAGTCGTGTCAGGGAGGTGGGTCCAATGGTGGGTGAAGCCAATCTCTTGTTTGTGGTTTGTAGAAACACGTGGGATCTTTTGATGTGTGAAGCACAGCATAAATGGAGAATATCATATTGCAGGCATGGATTTCTCCTAACCTATTCAGAGTTTTGAGAAGGACAGAGCGTAGTTGTAAGGAAAATGCATAGTAAGAATTTTGATTTAAGCAGAGAGGGAATTTATCCCACCTGTATCCACTGTCCAGCATGATACAGGTGGTTCGTATGGAGGTCTGAACCATAATTGCCATGTGAAGGACAAGAAACATTAGTTTATGGATCTGTTTTAACCAGTAATATGATTTCAGGGCTTCAGTTATTGCCCCCTCATGTTAGGCATACATCAGTCTTGTTTATTAAAGAAAATGAAATTTGTGCAAAATTACTCTAGTCTGTGAATACTATGAAGTTAAGCATGGGGTGTTGTATACTTAGGTTCATCAGCAATATTTACTATAAGCAGTGGGACTTTCACATGTTGACTGAAGGAATGGTGAACTCAAATGATTCCTTTATTTCAACATTGTTGTATAAAGAAGGTTATTGTGTTCTTACACTGAGAGGAGTCTAGGCTCACTGGTATTCTCAATGTCCATAACAGCGCGGGTGTTCTGTTGAGGGACTGGAGAAAAGCAAGAAGCCCTTTTTTAAGGACAAGAGGAATCTCATCCTGCATTGGGTTCCTCGAAACTGCTAAAATATATGTGCAACCTGGCGCTCAAGTTTGTTTTACCGTTTCTTTATCAAAGTGCTCTGAGGCATCTCTTGCTTTCTTTTCCACCACTCCCCCCTCCCCTTTCTCTGTTGGTTACTGTGGTAAAAGCACGAGGAAGTGTTTCTTGCCACAGTGTACTCAACCGCAAAAGATTTCACTTTCAGATTTTTTTTTTTTTTTTCCTATTTGTGGTGTAGCTTTCTGCACCAGACTAAGACAGTTAGCAGCAATGAAAGCATTCATTTGAATGTGCAGTGAATTGAGACATTAAAAATTCTGGGCATGGGAAGAAACCTTTATATTTTTTTAAGTCCTCTTTCCACTCCCTTTCCAGTTAGGTGTGTGGGTTTTCTGTTAGGCATCCATTTATTTACATTTTGCCCAGCAGCATAGGCAAAGAGGTGCTGCAAACACATAAGGAGTAATTGTCTACAAATACGCCCTATTATACTTCTAGAAAATGAAGCTGTTCCTTTATTTATTTATTTATTTATTTATTTATTTATATATATAGCCCTAATTTTCTAGTTGAAGACCTCACTGTTCATGTTGTTGAAGCTGGGGGTGTGCCATAATTGTACCTCCTTCTGGAGATCTGAAGGATTTGTCACCTTTCTAGTATCTCTCAAGATGAACTACTCCTGAATGTATTGCTCTTGGTAATCATAGGCCATTTTGCTGCTTTATATTGGCCTGTATTGGGGTTGCTTTCCACCAAATGTGCATCAGTTGTGAGTATGGCAAAACTCCGATACAACTATCCTGCTG